GCGCACCCTTAGAGATAAGGTGAGGAGCTCAGAGTACAACCGCTGCTCCTCCACATCGAGAGGAGCCAGCTGAGGTGGCTCGGGCATCTGTTTCGGATGCCTCCTGGGCGCCTTCCTAGGGAGGTGTTCCGGGCATGTCCCACCGGGAGGAGGCCCCGGGGAAGACCCAGGACACAGTGGAGGGACTATGTCTCTCGGCTGGCCTGGGAACGCCTCGTCATTCCCCCGGAGGAGCTGGAGGAAGTGTCTGGAGAGAGGGAAGTCTGGGCATCTTTCCTTAGACTGCTGCCCCCACGACTCGGTCTCGGATAAGCGGAGGAAAATGGATGGATGGATGGATAAAAATACTCTGTTACAAGTTGTGCACTGAACATCTTACTTAAGTAGAAGTTCAGAAGTGTCAGCATCAGAATATACTTGAAGTACCAAAAGTAAAAGTAGAAATTATGTAGAATGTGCAGACACATCTGCATCTCACTTTGTACCCTCTCCTGTCTTTGCCTTGACAGCCTCTGGCACCCACCCCAAACACATCTCATCTAGTACCAACACACATGATACCGTTTACACAGTTTTAGTTCCCTAAGCTTAAACATACCCACCGCTTGTTCCTGAATAGGTTTGTGGGGGGCGGGAGCCATTCCCAGCTGACACTGGGTGAGAGGCGGGCTCCACCCTGGACAGGTCACCAGTCTGTCACAGGGTGACATGTAGACAACCAACCACACTCACTTCTACATGCAGTTTAGAGTCACCAGTCAACCTAAGCTGCATGTCTTTGGACTGTGGGAGGAAGCTGGAGAGAACCCACACAGGGAGAACATGCAGACTCCACACAGAAAGTCCCGGGTCGGCCAGGGCTCAAACCTTCTTGCTGTGAGGCGACAGTGCTAACCACTGCACACTGTGCCGTTCCTTTTCTGCAGTATACAGAACCAAAATACTGTAAGGCTGAATCACAACAAACAAAGGGCCAAGAAAAGAGCCTCTTTAAATTATGTGACAATGTATTATTGAGAAAATCCAGTGGGTTTTGAGACCAGGAGCTTTAGAGGCTTAGAGAGTTTAATCTCTTAATTTACCTGAAATATCTCAACAGATGAATGTGCGGGAACAGGTCCAGTCTGCTTTGTGTCAGAAAAGTTTTGGTTTGATTCTTTGATTCTGATAAATGAAGTCTCCGTGAAACAGACACACAAACAGTGTGTGTAGTCGTCCAAACTCACACCGATGTGCTGTACAAACCGCAGCACCACAACGATCAGCGACTCCCCATCAGTCCCCATCACAGGAAATGATATCACCTCATTCACGTGCGGGTCAGCGTGATGAAGTGATCAGAGCCGGGGCCTGATCATGTGACCACCAATGTAAAGTAATGTCGGCCATAGGTGTAAAACAGTTGCATGATCAGTGGGTGGAGAGTAACTGATACCAATGTAAAGTAATGTCGGCCATAGGCGTAAGACAGTGGGTGGAGAGTAACTGAAGGTCACATCTGAGTCTTGTCAGTGAAACTTCAGCAGAAACAGGAGCTGTGGTGGAACAGTTTGGTCTGAAAGTAGTCAGTAACAGACATGACATTCCTTCTCTGGGTGTTGGTGAACTGATGAGTCTGAACCTGCCTAACATCAGTTTATGTTCCTACTGTGTGGAAAATAATATCAAAGTCAATTTCTTAATTACAGTTATCAAAGGGAATGTATATGTGTAGTGATTACTGAAACTCTGCTGTTTGCATGAGGCTCCCAGTCAGTGCTGGGAGTGATTACTGAAACTCTGCTGTTTGCACGAGGCTCCCAGTCAAGTTACTGTGTACTTAGTGGCATGGTGGTGCAGTGGTTAGTACTGTCATCTCACAGTAAGAAGGCTCCAGATTCAATCCTCGTGTCCTAGTCTAATTTTCCTCCGGATATTCCGACACAATCCAGAGACATGCAGGCTAGGTTGACTGATGACTTGAAATTGCCTGTAGGTGTGGGTGTGAGTGGTTGTCTGTCTCTATGGGTAAATCCCAATTTTCTTAATTGGTTCCATGTTTCCTTCACTTGTCTCTTAGTTGTGCCCGTGTAAAATGTGTTCATGTAGACATATGACGTCCTTTCCTTTGCTCCTTCATCTGAAGCATTCAGTCCCCAACTGATTTCTGATAAAGGAGCATCTGTTCATAAACGATTTCCACCTCGCTCCTCAGGGCCAGAATAAGAGCTTCAGGACGTTCTCCTAGATGGTGGACTGGAATGTCATCTGGGCTGAGTGAGAATCGAAGAGCAGGGAATGATAAAGTGACTTTGGATTTACCCCGCACGTCAGCTGTGACAGACTGGGCACCTGTCCAGGTGTACCCCACCTCTGGCCCAGTGTCAGCAGGGAGTGTCTCCACCTTGTTTCCTGATAGTGGCCACCACCGTCAGAATTTCCCCTGTTGTGTGCTTAACACTTTCTAACTCATTTTAAACACAGTCACCCAGGCTGTGACTTATTCTGTGAAGCATTAGAGACCAGGACTCCTGCAGACCCCCCACCTCTCTGCTCATTCAGCCTCTTTCACTGTCCCATATTTTCCTCTGAAGCCGCTGCCACTCCTTCATCAGGTTTCATTCATTTGGCTCGTACATTGCTCTAACTGTGAGCCGGAGTCTATTTTCAGCAGCTGCACTACTGGTTCAGCTGCACAGACAACGAGAGCTGTGGTCTGCTCTCAGAAAGAATCACGGCCGAGTTATTAATCTTCCCCTCACTGGTTTACAGCTTCTCTAACAGGTGGGAGGAACAAGCCCTCGTCCTTCACAGGAAGATTTGTTGAACAAATAGTTTAGATGAGTTTCCTCCCTCTGACATGCACACGCCCTTTGTGTCTAACAGTAATATGAAGCGTTCCAATTATTTTGTGATTATATATAATTTACTTTCTGGCATTCCCTGTGCCTGCCGGCTTCTTTTTGTAATTAAGTGACCATCAGATCTTACTTTCGGTTGTTGTAATGTCATCAAAAAATGCACACTGGCACCATATGTGTCGCCATCACAGGCAACTTGGGGGTTCAGTGTCTTGCCCAAAGACACTTTGACATGTGGACTGCAGGCACTGGGGTTCAAACCTTCAACCTTCTGGTTAGGAGATGGCTGCTCTACCCACTGCACCACTGTCACCCCACAAAGACAGACGTTCTCTGAGGAGATGTTTGTGTTTTATGTGATATGATGTGAATCTGCTGGGGATCGAGTGTGTGAAGCCCTTTCATTGTTGTTTTTCAGTCGTCTGGAGAGTAAGGTGCAGCTGTTGGAGTCTCAGCAGAGAGGAGAGCTGGAGGACATGAGGGAGGAGAAGAAAAGACTGCAGGTACACATCATACAACGGAAACCTGTAGCTTTCATCACCAGCATGTTTTTGGGCCTTTATTAACTTTAATAATAATGTACTTTTAAGGTCAAGATTTGAGTGTACAAGATGAAGACTAAATGCCCGAAATCATAAATGTAAATCATACACAAGATTTATTTTACTAGGTTTACTGGTTCAAACTACTTTGGTCTCAGATGATTGAGAAAAGCCTGCAACAGTCAAACAAAATGTAAACCCTATAACTGTAAAGTGGAGTGTGTAAACGTGAAAAGCAGAGATAAGAGGAGTCAAAACTTTGCTGCTGTGGTTGACTGAACCTGTGCAAATGCTTAAACAAACAGAAGTTGATTATTGTTGTTCTAAACCAGATGTATTGACTCTGTGCTGACAGTGATTAGACAGGAGTGAATCTCTTTCTCCCAGTCTGTCATCAGGACCCAGATGGCGGCCATCGAGTCTTTGGAGAAGCAGCTGAGAGTCGCCAGCAGCAACAACTCGGCTCTGCAGAGGCAGCAGGCTCAGCTGATGGAGTCGGTGCACACACTCATCAGCATGGTGACTACCACGACAGGTACACACACACACACACACTCCGTACTGTGTGGCCGCTGTGTCAACAGGCCTGTCAGACCTGACTGGAGTGTTTTTTAATGTGTGTGTGCGTAGGGTCACCTCCGAGGACCCAGATGTGGAGGGACTGTGCAGATGCTTACAAGGCCGGCCACTCAGTCAGCGGCCTGTATCACATCTACCTCAGCAACAGGACTGAACCTGTGCAGGTAACGTCTCAACTACAGCAACGTCAACCACTTTACATAGAAACGTTGTCCGGTGATACGATGAAGACTGGACCGAGGAGCATAGAAATAACGACAGAAGAACAGAACAAATAAACTGACTTAATACCCCAGTGCACATAGACTGTAATGAGGTTATACTACAGGAATACTTGGTTCACTCAGAAAGTATTGAGCTGAGCACATGATGGAGTTAGAGAGAAGTGTTTAACAGACTGGTCCTCTGGTAGTGATGAGGAGCTTCAAGCAATAATTCTGTTTCTAGTGTCGATAATGAGCTTTTCAGTTCAAAAATTATTAATAAAAGTGAAGAAAACAGAAAAGTCACAACAAGCTGCAAGTTTGTTATTTATCTTTACATTTAAATACATGAACCATTTTTTGGTATTTTCTAAATACATTTAAATGTAACAAATCAGTTGTGCCTGATTTAGATGATCCCCACAGCGTGACAGGCTCCTGGTGTTTGTTTTGAAGGTGTACTGCGACATGGAGACAAGTGGTGGCGGCTGGACGGTGTTCCAGCGGCGATTTAACGGCAGCATGGACTTTCAGAGGAGCTGGAGGGAGTACAAGATGGTCAGTGTGTCCCATGTGAAACAAAGCAAAGTGTAAAATGAGATCTGTGTGTTCACGGTGCTACCCCCCCACACACACTCCTGCAGGGCTTCGGGGACGTGCTGGGAGAGCACTGGCTGGGCAATGAAGTTTTGTACCTGCTCACCAGTCAGGGCCAGTACTCTCTGAGAGTGGAGCTGAGGGACTGGGAGGAAAACCCCGCCCACTCCCAGTACGACCGATTTACACTGGCCAGTGAGCGGCAGCAGTACAGGTGACTACCACACACAGTAAAGCTGTTTGACGCACATGTTTCCATTTTCAGCTGGTTTTCACTTCACTGCACTTCAAAGGAACATATTCTTTTCTTCATTTACTACTTTACATATGTGTCTTTTAAAGTTCCAATCTAATCTACTGGTTTGAATTTAATGTACCAAACATATGATCACTTTAGAACATATGATTATTGATTACACTGGATAACAAAGACTTTGCTTTCTGAGGACTTCTGGGTGCATCTGACAGATTTTTGGCTGCTGGTCACAAAAATCACCTTTCAATCTACCCATCACCCACACAGACTGACCTCTTCACACTGTTTTCCTTCCCACCGGTTTCCCTGTGACTGAACACAGAGCTGCATGTGCATCCTGTCGACTTAAGGCACCGCTTAAGCTAAATCCTAAACCAGTCACATCACTGAGTTCCTTCACCTGCAGCCACTTGCCTCCTCTCACTCAGGTTGTACCTGAGAGGTTACAGCGGCACAGCCGGGAGGCAGAGCAGCCTGGCCACACAGGGGACGGGCTTCAGCACCCGAGACCAGGACAACGACAACTGTGACCACTGCAAATGTGCCCTGATGCTCACCGGAGGTAACGTCTCTCCTCTCCCGACCTCTCTGTGCCTTCGTCTCATAGTTTCTGCCTCAGAAACATTCAGATGATCACAGCTGTTTTTGTTTAATGAAAGTTGATTAAATAGTCTTTAAACTATAAACTGTTATAAATCACCTAAAATATGGCTCCAAAAGCACATAATTTGTTGATTGAGGATCAGTGTAATTATTGTTTTCCCCACACCCATGATCGTTCAAACATCTGTCTGTGTCACCCTCCACCTCATGTTAATGCCAAGACAAACAGCTCTTTAGTTCTCCTCCCCTTGATGGTGATCAGCGATTAACTTAATCGTTCTGGCAAAACCTCGAGATCTCGAGGGA